ATGATATCATGAAAATTCTATCTCTGGTCTGCTTCAATTACTGCTTAAAATTAAAGAAATATAAGAAGGCAGAATGGAAGTGACCCTTTAATAGCTCCAGGAATGTATATTATTCTGCAAGGCCATCCCATCTAGTGAGATGCATTTCTGTTGACCCAAGTTCTCTATATAAATTCTGGAATTCCTACTACCTTCATGTCTATTGGATTAAAAGCAGCCAGAAGAATAAAAACATTATTAAATTGTTATTGCTACTTTGAAAAAGTCAACAAAGTTGCTGGGTACAAACCAAAGAAGATTTAATGAACAATTTAGACATGAGATTAAATAAAGAGCTTTGCTATTTTGGTAGATTAATAAATACCATACAAACAACATGCATTGCTAGATTCTTCGAGACAACAAGGTTGTCAGTTTTGAAGGGAAGTGCTGGGTTCCTATCCACCACATGCTGTTTATTTCATGCTAAATCTTCTCTGTGTCTCCCCCTGGGATAGGGAACAGTCAACCTTCTTACAATTCTGATGAAATTTAGGAAAAAAATAACTCTCCAGTTTAGTTGGGAAGGCAAGTTGCATGGACTGATTTCACCATTATCATGCTTTTGGAGTTCATGGCAATTGAGTTGGCTACAGAAGTTGCCATCTGCCATGGTATTTACGACAGAAAAATGGAATCAGATATGGTGCCAGCTCATTACAAAACCGATCCACCGTGTCAAAATGGAGGACATTAGCATCTTCTTTTAGCATCCTGCTGCCAGCATCTGATGTCAGATTGCTAATCACTTGAAGTCATCTGTCCCAAACAAGCACTGCCAAATCCGTCTTCCAGACCAGCAGCAACAGACAATGCTGTAAGTTTATGATGGAATAAAGTGCCTTAACGGACGGTAAAAATCTGATCATTTAATCTCCCCATTTAATTAAATATCACCAGCTCTTGGTGTTTTAGTTTTTAATAATCTATCATTGTATTTATATTTCACTGTACAACCAAATACCTTGCCAACTTTTCTTGGGCAGGAACATAATTTACAGTGATTAAAATGGAACCTATATCTTCTTTTCCTTAAAATTATTTTATCAAAATTAAACTGGCCTGGATTTTAATAAACTGGTCATGTAATCTAGATGTTATGTCACCACAATTTAACTATAAGCATATACCTATCTCTATCTGTGGTCAGAACCCATTTCAGTATTTGAGCAAACAAATGTAATATCTACCATTTCAATTAAATGGGTATTTAATTGGCATTTTGAATCTGGATCAGTGCAGGTTTACCAATTAATTAAAAAGAGAAAAATCACAAACGAGGAGAGCAAACTTATACCAAACTGTTAATAGATACAGATTTGTTTTATTAATTAGCTGCCATGCTTTTTAATCAGCTAGACAATGAGATAGACAATTGCAAATATATTAAAATATCTTAGAGCATGTTAATGAAAACATGTCTCAATGTAAAAACAATTTTAGCATTTCGGAAATGTCATCTTAATTGTATCACCTGAATTAAGGTGCAACAACATTTAACAAGGGTCAATTCTGAAGTTTAAAAAAGACTACTATTATTTGAGGAATTTTATTCCTTTTCTATATTTATATCACCTTCCTTTCCTAATGGCCCTTATAAGAAGCTAACAGAGTCTTATCCTCTTTACCTACCATCAGAGTAGAAAAGAAAGTAGAAGCTGCTCTTAAAAGTCACAGGAAGAGAATCAGGAAAACCCAAACCCAGGTATGGCCAAGAAGGCTGAGGAATACTGAGAATGCTTCTTAGAAGGCGGCAAATAATAAGAAGCCGGCAAATAATAAGAAGCCAGAATAGAGAAAAAACATGAATGTTCCAAAATGCTTCCCCAGCTTTAAACATTCAAAGTATATAATTAAAAGTCATTTGCACTCATGTTTGACTTACATTTGAACATTTGTGCATTTCACTTGCCCTCAACAGCTCATTTCATGAATTATTTAACACTTGGAGCTAATCTTTGTTCATTTAAATATACTTAAGAGTATAGGCTGGCTTCAAGGATAGCAAACTACTCCATATAGTTTACACCAGTGACAATAATAGAACATCAAATTTAAATTAACCTCAGGATGAATAACCAATAAAAGGCAGCAGTAAAATTAAAACAACTTTAAATGTTTAGCTCAGTCACAAGCTAATACGAATTTCCATTTAATAGCCAAGTAAAACTTTTAAGAAAAAGTAATCAACAATATGATTTCAAGGTTTTTGTAAAAGACTCAAAGGATTGGGCCAGCCACAGGGGAATTCAAACAGGAGAATCTGATTATGCCATTGCAATGCAAGATACTCCTCTTTTGTGAATGAACTGACACCAGCCCCAACATGAATTTCAGCAAGCACACATTATATAGGGTGATAATCAGTCTGGTAGGTATAGGATTATAGTTGTTAACTTGTTATCCTTTGACTGCCAATTTAAAGAGATGGGGATACAAAGAGGGCTTTGGATTATTAATTTAAAGCGATTGATTTAAAGGATGAAAGTGGTTCAACTTGGTGCCACTTTTAAGACTTTGAAGATTAAGGCTGTAAAGTTTTTTTTTCCCTCCAATGCAAACTCTCCTTCAAGCTAAACTTAACTCAGATAATTTAACAGGTTTTGCCATGTATTTTCTATAGTGGCAATATGGAAGCGGTTTTTCCCATTGCCACCTTCCAGGATGTTTGCAGCTTCCCAGTTTAGCCTATAATACCCGTTTAACTTCCAAGCCCAGACTGGTGCCACTGTCTCCCAAGAAAGCAATATTTTACACTGAGCTCAGAAATACATCAGCAATAAGAGCAACTGGTACAGTGCAGAAGTGAGACATTAAAAGCTGAATTATATATTTGCGGAACTGCCTATAAAGTATAGGACAATGAGTATTCAGTAGCTTATATGATTCTTAAGCATCACTTTGTTCCAATATTGGACTCCCAGCTCCTTTGAACCTCAGTTGTCAGTTTATGGCAAAGAATTANACCCACCTGGTCATTAGGACAGAGAACTGGTTGGTAAATTATTTGAATCCCACCACTGCAAAAGACTAAAGTGTACTGATAGAAAATTGCTCCCCTCTCCCTCCCTTAGTCACTTAGAGAACATAGGCTTCCACAGTTTAAAACAACCTTGGTACAGTCAATTTTTAGAGATGACAATTGTTATTTGGTTAGGTGAAAAATCACTGAAAAATATGGTGTGGCTACCAATGTATCAAGAAAGAAATACAATTCACTAGGATGGGGGTGATGTTATTGTTAATTTAATGTAAATAGCAGAAAATAATGGCTTAAATGGCTTGATCACTTTTTCAATTACTTCTTTCAATTTGGAAGGCATTAGCCTACATGTTTTGTCTCAAAAAAAGTTATCCTGATAGTCTCTATACACACAGTTGTACAATTCACTTTACGCTTTCTTTCCTCCAGCACAGAGAGCAATGGTAGCACACTTAATCCTATGTAGCCATCATCGAACTTTGTGGTAAATAATTCTAATTTATGAATGATCCATTCCAGCAAATTCATATAGAAGTTTGCAATACTCATATAGGGAGTCATCAGTTAATGACGGTAATTGGAGTTTCCATGGCTAAGCCATGCAGTTGTAAAGCATGACATTATTCAGTAACAGCAGTCCCTATTGCTGTCATTAAGTGAGGATGCTAGGTCATTAAGCATGGACCTCCTCATGATTTTCTGTAAGCAAAGTCAACAGGGAAGCCAGGAGGAAGTTGCAAGTCCCTGGCGACAGGTATGGATCTGCTATGGTGGACTGCAAGTGTATCAGAAGGGGGGATCAGTGCTCCAGAGAATGAGAGGGCATGCAAGCATAAGGTGCTCTGAAGTGCAGGAAGGCGTGAAAACAGCTGTCTCAGATTAGCATCACCATTGCCAGAGCAGAAATGGCTCCTGAAAAGAGTGGTATGGTGTATAAAAGGCTGTTGCAGCCCAGTTCAAGCATAGCCAGACTGGGGTGGCTGCTGCTGGAGGTGGGAAGGTACACAAATAATGGAAACGGGAGCGATTCACAGGAGTGTTGCGCAGCCTTCTCTGCCGGCTTCTCCGTCAACTTTGCTTGTGTGAGGCTGGCAGAGAAAGTCAGAAATGGCAATCACATGGCCATGGGACACTGCAACCATTGTACGTGTAATCTGGTTGCCGATCACCTGGATCATGATCATGTTAACTGCAGAGATGCTGGGATGGGCAAATGTTTGAGCAGCAGTTATAAGTACTGCTCGTTTGGCATTGTCATAACTTTGAACTGTTGCTGTTGGTCTTCAAGTGAGGACTATCTATAGGTGGACTCTTGCAAGATCTCTCAAAATAGTCTCTAAGGAATTGACCAAAGTTTCCCCAAAGCCACTTCTATACAGAGCCCAGAGAGGCAGGACCCCCTATGACTGCTCAGCCTGGCAGAAGTAGGAATTATTATGATCAAATCTGTCCTGCCTTCCCAGATTTGCCTCTTTGCTTCTACTGTATCTCCACCAATCCCATCACTAGTGCTACCACCGTTGCTGTCGAAGGAGATTCTGTCCAGTAAATATGAACAACAAATATGGAACAGACAAGGGGCCAGGAGAATCAATGGAGAAAAGCAAGCATGTAGGGGAAATTGGCTGTAATTTATGACACATTGTCAATTTACAAAATAGGACAGAGCCATAGAGAGAGAAAAACCCCACCAATTAGTATAAAAAATCTAAATAGATACACAACTTGGAGCTATATGTTTTTGTAGAATCTCAATTCAATTCAAGCCTTTACTGTCAATGCACAACATGTGTACAATGAGATTGGCTGAGTGTCCCTTAGTGCACACCCCCAACACAAATACATCTCAATAACTCAGAGTGAAAGAAAGAAAATCCCTAACCCAGTAAATCATACTAACAAATACATAATCCTCTATACATATAGGTGCATAACATTACATTGCAATATATTACACCAATATGAACATGTTGCACATTGCGCTGGCCCTGCAAGTCTATCATACTACATATTTATGATGTTATGTTGCATTCAGGAGTGTGCCAGCCCACAAATAAAAGCTGTTTTTCAGCCTATTCGTACGACTGGCTATGCTTCTATATCTCCTTCCCGATGGCAGGAGAGTAAAGAACTGCTGACCAGAGTGTGAGTCATCCCTGAGGATTTTCCTCACTCTTCTAAGGCAGTGAGTCTAGCAATTTTGTCTAGTAGTGTCAAGGGACAGCCCAGGATGTTTTGTGCCATGCTCATCACCCTCTGTAATGTCTTACTATCCGCAGTTATCAAGCCAGCATAGCGTAATGCCATAGTGAGGATGCTTTCTATTGTGGACCCATAAAAGGAGGTCATCAACTATATTTTACTGACAAAATTATCTAATTTTTTCATATCCCATAATAAATCTGCAATGAGGACTCCCAGACTTGGCTTTTGTGGTGATATTACTACTTGTCCAAAGAATGTTATTGGCATCCAGAAGCAATCCTCCAATTCTAACTTTTCCCAGGCTTCCTTCCTCTGTCTTTCTTCTTTTCACAATACATCAGTTATGTGAAAAGAACTGATGGAATGGTGAAATGATTTTTAATTAGTCACAGTAATACTACCCTTCTGGGAAGGAATAATGTTAACCTTCTGGGAAGGAATACGATAGTCAGTTAGGTCCAGTGGATAGGTACCAGGCTGGAAACCAGGATACTGTGAGTTCTAGTCCCACTTTAGGCATGAAAGATGGTTGGATGACTTTGGGCCAGTCACTCTCTTGCAGCCCTGCACACCTTCCAGAATTGTTGTTGTAGGGACAATACAGTAGGATGAAAAAGGAGCACTGTGTATACTCACCACATTGAGTTATTTATACAAAAAAATAAAGGTGGAATAAAAAAATATTTTAAAAATCTTACATCCTTAATGAAACGTAAACTGTAATACCCATAAGATATGTTACATAAGACAGGGTAGGACACAAGGTTATTAGGACACAATACCTGTTGTTATATTTTGCAAGTAACCATACTGAGGTCCTCGTAAAATTTTAAAAACAATTCGATCATCTTCAGTATCACAATCTGATGCTTTCAAGGACCTCGTTGTAATGTAAATTCCATAGTTGCCATTGCGCAAAAGTTCCACATCTGAAGCTGTATGAAGATGAACCATTTCTGGTGCTGTGTTTGCTGGTCTATCCACCTGTAAGGAAGAAAATAATTTCTGTTACTGGTCAAAGATTAGATTATAATGAAAGTAATGTGTAACTTCTAGTTTGTGAAATTGAACACTTGTGTAATCAAAATCAACCATGCTGTGAACTGGACTTAATATCATAGAAGGAATCGGGCACACATAATCCAAATTATATTTGAAGGTTCTGAAAATGTCTGAATGCACTGGAGAGATAAACATACTGAAATGAATTTTGTTCTATTTTAAACATAAGCATACTCAGTCTTGGTATCCCTTGACTGCTTCGGGCTGCATTGTAACATTATTAAATAAATAATGCAAATATCTTATGTTTGCACACTTTCTGTGTATTGAATTACGTTTGTACACATGAGTGCAGGTATTTATGTAGAACGTGCCTGAATAATAAATGGCAAGGGGTCTACTTGAAGCTTGTTGTTTACAAGAAAACCTTGGTTTACTCCATCTGTTGCCATAAATGAAAACCTGTCCATCTGAGAACCACCTCCTCCATGTTTGTAGGCTACATTCAGATTGTCCACATCTTGTTGGCTGAAGTTTTGCTGCTGTGATCCAGTTTCCCTGTTATAGAGTTGACCGTATTGTGGGAACTGTGTTAGGAGAAAAGAAAGATTTTGTGGTGGTGTATCTGGATCTGAAAGTTGGAGAACATCTGGAGAAAGAACTGCTGTGCTGCCTTCAAACAGTCTCAGGCCCTTGTTTTTGACCACGCTGGGTAAAGCTCGATCCACTGTCTCCAAGATGATCTCAAATTCTCCATGTTTAGTTCTTATCCCATTGCTGATGATGAATCTGGCAAAAAGAGGCAAGGCATCCTTCAGCATGTGTTCTTGATGCACCATCTACTGAAATGAAACAGACACCTTTACTGAAGAGCTTATCTCTTACTACCTATGAGAAAAATTAAGCCCTAATTTCTGTTTGAATGGCTCTTGTGACACGTTTCAAGCCTTTGAAAAGGCACAACGTTCAAAATTTAACTCTAGAAACAGACTACAAATTGTGGAAATGGGCTACAATGGTTTTGAAGCTTTNCCTCTACAACTGCTGTGCCTCCTAGACTGAAGTGGCTCCAGGTCAGAGCCTCTCCTGAATGTTTGAACTGAAACTCTTAGAATAGTTTCGGTTGGAAAACAGGCCACATTCTTTGGCAGTGAAGAACATTGGTCAGATTCAACATTAGAAGCATTTTGATCATAAATAAAATTACGATAAAGCTGTGGTGGATTTTCAAAATTATGTTATGCGTTCCCAATATAAACAGGGAACCCTTCAAAGGATTATATCAAAAAATTAATTGTAAATTCTACTAGTCACTGGAGTGTGTTTCAGTCTCATGAGGGATATTTAAGAAACAGAAGGATTACACTCCCTCCCATTGTTAGCTAAGACTTGAATCTCTTTTTCCAACACTTCAGTTGGTTTTGTTGAAAAACAAAAACTAACCTTGAGCTGAAGATGTCCATTTTCTGGAACTCTCTCAAATAGATAATAAATTTGTTCCCGAGGAGTATCTTTATCTTCAGCTGACAAAACAGCACTAGATATTATCTGTGCTTCCCCCATATTCAGCTCAATCTTATCCTTTCTACAACAGAGAAACAAAGATTCTTTGTAAGTGTGTTTAAAATGCAAATAATCACTGAAATGTTCAAGACTCAACACAACCATATCTATGTGTACAACATTTCACTGCAAGCAGAGAAGGCTCTGTGGTGGTATTGTGGTTCAATGCATATATATTGAGATTTTAAATTATGAACTGATTCACAAAGTTTTATGAAGACGAATAGAGGCATACTAAATCATGCTCTTTTCTCTTCCCTTTGTGAGTTCTTTACAAATTATCACTTTAGTTTATTTAAAGTAAAACACAGTTCTTACGATTTAAGAATGAAATTAATTAAAGCATTAATTCATATCTAGTGGCTTCCTCAAATAACATTTTAAACAGGATGTAAGATTTATTTTTTGCAACAATGTCAAATATCTGTAGCTTGGATGTACGATGAGGATAGAAGTTCATTCTCCCAGCTTGAGTTGGTTTCTGATCATTTTGTTACCAGGCTAGGTAACACATTCAGCGGAGTCGGTTTCTGTGTTCTTCTGCTTATAAAGGTTTTGTGTGGTCAGTAGGTCTTGTGATGGGGAGGTCACATCAGGTGAGGGTCACATCATGGACTTGTGCTGGGTCAGGTAGGGGTGTGTCAGGTGAGGGTATTGTGGTGGGTAGGTCAGGTCATATATAGGTCACTGGGAGATGAAGTGCTGGTTGGGGGGGTTGCGTGGGTTGGTTGAGGGTNGTATCAGCCTTTCTCAATATCATGAATCAGGTCACAATTGTTATCACCCCCTCATCAGAGCATAACATTTGTTATATTCTGCCACACTTTCATACACACAATTTTATGCTTTCTAGATCTCTTGGAGTACATCCTCTCTCTCCTTAATCAGGACAGTGTATACTGTGCTAAATGTTATTGCCCATAGATATGTATTAGTTTTCCCCACTGGACTACACTACGCTTCAACTCCCACCCTCTATATCCAGGGTAGTCATTCTCATGGTTTTATACACACTATGGGAAGATCTAAAATAAAATTACCTTTTTCCACATCCTTAATAGCAACAGGAAAAACCACTTCTGGAGATCTGTTGCTTCCATCCCAAAGTTGAAAAGAGAAGCTGTCTTCATTGTTTGATCCAAGAGTTCCAGTGTGTATATACCTCAAAGCGTTCGTGTCTATATTCTCCTGGGTGCATTTCATTCCTTTGTACAGTGTCACCCAATCATGACCTACCTAGGAGGGAAAATTGTATCATGACTTTGAGATATTATATTGTGTATTATTATGATTATGATTACTATTATAATAGTAATAGTAATAGTAATAGTAATAGTAATAGTAATATTACTATTACTAGTACTAGTAATATTACTATTACTATTAACATTTATATGCTATCAATCTCCTAATAACTCTGGTATTATAGTACTAATGCAGCCGTTAAAAAGATTTTATTACTGAACACAAGTTCTAAAACAAAATCCCTTCTTCTTCAACTTGGTACTCATCCCATCAACAAGTCAGTCACCACACAGAACACATGCTCATCCCCTGGCTACTTAATTTTTTTCAAAAATCCACTTTTCCCGATTGCTTTATACAGATCTAGTTTTTATAACTGATGACTACCATTCATATCAAAGTGCCAGCATTAACAAATTCATTTGTAGGACATGACTACAGAAATGCCTGCTAAACATGCTATACAGTTCAATAAGCATTGTGAAACTGACTATGGGATTGCTGTATGAAATTTGGAAGACTAGGTTATGTACAAGCAAGTTGTGAAACCGTGTCAAAAATGTGATAAGTGCCAAGGATGGAAGGGTAAACTATAATCTCTACTTCTGCTAAGATCTTAGAAGGCAGAAAAAGGCAATTTTCTCCTTTTAAATACACAATTTGTTTCAAAGGTATACAAAGTAATGATGATTCAACCCTGTGCATATCTCCAGGCAGGTAAATGGAACAATATAAAAAAGAAATAAGGTACAAGTCGAGCTGCAACTGTAATATCATTGGTTGCCAAATTTCTGTTGCTTTTCTAAGACTTTCCACTCCTCCCTAATTAAAACGGGGTGTCAGGCCTGCAGCCATCTTCTTTTTTAGATCTTTGGCCTGCCACACTTTCTATTATTCTACTATGCATTTTCTACTGAGGGAAAATGGGAGAGAGGATTGCAGGAGCGAGATGCTATATAGCCATAACAAAATTATTTCTAGAAAGCCAAGGTCATCCTTTGTCTTTGCATCTCTGCACCTGACCGGAACTGGATGGGTGGAACTGCCAGCATGGCAATGGAAGATTGGACCAGGTGATGNAGGTTTTAAAAAAATACTAACAATTGATGAAACAACAGATTCCCCAAAGTAAGACAAGGAGAAATCAGAATTGACTATTATTTAAATAAATAAATTTCATTTTTATAACAACGAAAATAAGAAAACCCATTAGATGTGTTAATTCTAAATCTACTATAGATATGTTGTTGCTTCTTAATTCAAGCACTGGTACATTTAGCTCACTACAATAGAATCAAAGTGGAAATCATCATATCATAAGCATAAGCTATGAATAAAATGATACATATTTGAAAATTATAATTCAAATGTCTTTCTTCATCTGAAGGCCTGTCCTTGAACACCTGTGTCGGGAATATGTCAATACATTTAAGTTTACATGCCTGCAATTTAGTACTTCCATTAATAGAATTCGGGATCTATTGATGAGAGGAACAATACTGATATCAAAGCTGCTGGCACTTTTACCGCTGCTTAAAGATTGACCAACTTGTGTATAGGCTCTGTGCCATCAAACAGCAGCTGCCTACACTGACCTAGTATTTGTGCCAAGAGGAAAACTGATTCTCTATAATCAGTTTAGTTATACCAGATTTTCATCTGGAATAACAAAGATTATAAGCATATTTTGGAGGTTTCGGAACTAAGGCAACAACACCAAGTAGATAAAATGCCCTGCTTCACTGGCAATGGTCTTCTGATTGAAGGTAATCCTTAGTTGTTTCAGAAGACAACAGGAACTGGCTAACTTTGTTTGGCCTAGAAAACTAAACAGGATGAATCCTGGTTAGGAACTTCATGAGAACTCCAGGGAAAGAGAAGTAAAACAAAAACATAAAACAGAAATGGCAAACACCATCCTCACATTGCTGCCAAGAACATTTGAAGGACATATGAATGATATCATGAAAATTCTATCTCTGGTCTGCTTCAATTACTGCTTAAAATTAAAGAAATATAAGAAGGCAGAATGGAAGTGACCCTTTAATAGCTCCAGGAATGTATATTATTCTGCAAGGCCATCCCATCT